GAGGGCACTATTCGATCAATTATCACTAATGTGAATTCAGAGTATGAATCCCACTTTTAGAGCAAACCAAGGTGTGAAGATGTCAAGTCAACCTAGCAACGTTGCTAGGAATTAAATCCCATCTCAAGAATACTCAAAGCAAACTCTTCAACTTATTTTGAAGAGTGAATTTGTCACATATCTAGTTGCTCCAAGTAGTCGATAGAGAAGGAATGTTAGCAACTGGCTAATCATACATCGGTCATTATTACTTACTCGAACAGAGTGGAAGGGCGTCATGGCGACAGCTTGGCCAAGAGCAGCTAGGACAGATTGTTCGGCAAGCCCAATACGCAGCTTGCCCTGAAGACTACGAATGAGATATTTGGCCTCGCATTCACGGCAGGCAACGAGAAGAGTCTGGATCAACTTCACCTTCTTCGTTTGGGACTGGAAAAAGGAAAAGAAGCTGTGGCATGCAATATAAAGGACCCAACGATGGTTCAATTCGAGCAAATTAAAATTCCCCCAAATGTGATAACCAGAGAGCAAATAGGAAGAAAATCATAACCATCGCCATCAAGGAGTTAAGGCGAGACAAGTTGCGTTTGATAAAATTCGATGGAGAAATCACTATATTGCCTGGAGATTCATGAAATAATTAAAAGCACATGAAAAAATTGTGATAAAGTGAGGGAATAGATGATAGAATACAAGGGGAGGGGCCTTTTAAGGCCAATAAATGGAAGCTAAATAAACACGTTAGCATGGCTATTGTTCGTGAGCAATGACAATAAGCTTTTATTCAACAAGAAGGCTCGGGTTTAACAAGTAAAATCCTTGTTATGCTATAATTTAAAGGGATTGATGAGAAATGAAAATTTGGTGGAGGCTAAATTAAAATACCATGTTAGAAATAGGTCAGCAACCTTGGTGAACCAAACCGAAGCATACACAAAAGTGGTAGACCAATGGGAAAGTCAAACAGGGAGAGAGTAGACATTGAACGATAATAGACGAAACAAATGGTCGCTCTCTCCCTATCACTTGCGTTCTACTTTTTAATTTTGCGTGCATCGATAATAGATTACATATTGTTTGAGATGCCTGTTAATAATATCAAGGTGATTTATACCACGTTTCCTACAATACGTTGAAAGAAGTTAACAATTCTAAGTCCTGTATCGGTCAGACAAACAATCAATAAAAAATTAACATTTCTCAATTAGAGCATCGCAGAATTTGTTAAAAATAAATTCAAGAGCTCTAAATTGACCCGTTTGTATCTTAATGTATTATGTATTCTCCAAATTGGCAAGATTTGGTGACTTGGTAAAACGACAAGGTAATAAATAGTATCATGATGGAATTAAAAAACCCAGAGACATTCAAATTCACGCAAATGAAACCCGATCAATAACGCGCTACCACAAATGAAGAAAATCAAGCAGATCTCAATCGAGATTTCATAAACGCAGGAGTTATGCAAAACAACAAAAAGCAAACAATAAAATAATATATTAAGACCACTGAACCACCGTTTAAAGTATAAACCAAAAAATGTTCGTATATAGGCGTAAAATAGAACATAAAAGGTCACATGACCGTTTAGACAAAAGTAAAAAAGAAATAGGAATCGAATTTTAGGTTACATACCGCATTGCCAACCATGAGAGAAATTTCCTTCAACCTGTCATAAACCACTTGAAGAGTCAAAGATTTCGGCTTGAACATAGTCTGCTGGCGAGATCTCACTGATTCAGCCACCGCACCCAAATCACCCAGTCGGTTCAACTCCGACTTGATCCGATCATTACTCGCTCCGGTTGTCAAGGTGAGGGCCTTAATAAGAAGACTCTCCCCAATTCCCAATTCTAATCCTTCATAAGATGGACCCAATCGATTAATTGACAAGTTGATACAATTTGGGAGCTCTTTCGGTGAAAGGACACCAACAGATCGATAGAAATTTGCTAGAACTTCGATGATCTTTAGCCGACTAGATATGCCCTCGACACGCTCAAGAGTCTTAGCGAATGCTATATAAGGTACTCTAAACCAAGAAAATTTGACAAAAATTAGAACCTACGGTTCATTTAAACCCCAACAAGAATCTTTAATAGGGTCATAAGAGTCCTTGGAAGGATCAAAATCATCACTTAATTGGAAAATAATAGAAGCAACACATACCTACATTTTAGAGTGGCTGACGTCACGACCTAAATGAAAAATATGAGATAATCAAAAATGGCTTCAAACCTTTTGAAGGATTTTCTGAAACAGAAGATATATGAACCGAGGGAGGTTCTTTTGAAACCGATGACTCAGATTTAGTTTTGACCGATTGCAGCGTTTTGCGCTTCTTAACGGGAGGGGGAGATGGTTCCGTTACAACTTTTTTATGAGTCGGTTCATTTGGTTCAGGTGACTGACTTTCATCACCGGAAGACACAGCTTTAAATGAATTGAATGACTGCAAAAATGTCTCTGTATACCTTCATCTTTGGTGGAAAGAACACTCTCATTATTACTTGAATCTTGCGACAATTGCGGAAAAGGACCTGACACTGATTCACCAACTTTAGAAGTTAGAGATTTTTGGGGAGCTAAACAAATAGAATTTCAAAATAATCGATACATTTAGAGTCTTCATCACTCTCTAAGAACACTCTTCGCTTTCTATTCTCTTTGTTGTGTGATGAAGGAGGACTAGATCTGAAATACTTTAATGAATTTAAAGTAATCTTTACCTTTCTTCCTGTTTGCTAGAGAAGAATGACCTAGAGAATGCGTTAAAGAATAAGCAAACTCACAATAACGATTTCTGAGGCATTTTGGGGGATGATATAGGTATCCTTTTGGTATATGTTAGACTGAGTGACTTAAGTATGAAGGGTGAGAATGAGCAAGCAGGTCTCAGTCGACCCAAAAACATTCAAATTTATGCATTTAGAGGTCATTAAGAATTGTAAATTTATCGTGGCGTAGCTCAACTACTAGTTGGGTTTTTTTAAAAAACAAAAAAATATATAATTTATTATTTATATTATTAAATTTGGAAAATGCAAACATAAAATTTAATTTTCTCAATTTGATTTACCTTAATATATAGGCGCAGAAGTTGAATTCATTATTCTTGCTGCGGTTTGTCCGTATTTTAGCTCTTCTTAGTTAAATCCGTTTTTCGGTATATTCCTAATTTGAACCTAAATCCTACTCTATTTTGATAAACTATGCCACATACTCCACACTTCGATAGCGATGATGTAAATAGTTCCCTTTTACTGTAATTGTTTTAACAGATAATTCTTGCACCTTTCAATTATTTGACGGAAAATTCTGGGAAAGGGATGCGGACAAAGTTAATAAAGGCATTTAATTTGTGGCTGAATATTGATCAAGACAAATTGGATCTTCTTAGTGATATTATCGAAACTCTTCACAATGCTAGCTTGATGTGAGTAACATCATATTAAGCTTACTGGAAATGTTTCTTAGTGTCGACGATATCGAAGATAATTCCGATCGTCGTAGAAACAAACCGGCGGCTCATATGCTCTTCGGTGTTCCTCTTTCGATTAATGCAGCTAATTTTGCCTATTTTATTGCTCTCGAAAAAGCTCTTCGTCTTAACCACCCTGATGTGCCAAAAGTTTATGCTGGTATGCCATTCTCTTTTGCGAAACATCTTTTTCAGAACAAATGATTGATTTGCACCGGGGTCAGGGAATGGATATTTATTGGCGATGCTCTTTGAAATGCCCCACCGAACATGAATATAATGAAATGGTCAAACAAAGTAGGCATTGGATTTTCCTTGCGATTTATTATTTTGTAGAAACTGGTGGCTTATTTGGAATGGCTGTGAAATTAATGCAACTTTTTTCAACTAATACTAGGTTTGCGTTTCTTAATTTCCTTGTTTTTATATTTCGGTTTCGGAATTTCAACTGTTTTCTTGTTGCTATTTCAGCGACTATGGACCTCTTCTAGCCTCTTTGGGTTTATGGTTTCAAATCAGAGATGATTACGCCAATCTTGTTGATACATCGGTAATTTCCGTCCTGTTTAATTTTTTCGATTTTGCTAGTAATATAGGTACCTATTGTACTCTTTGGTTTTCAAGCCTTTAATTAGAATTTTATGGGCTTTTGATAATTTTTTTAATTTTAATTCAAAATCTCAAGAGCTGCATAGTCTTTTTTTCTCAATGTTTTTTTTGTCATATGCATTGACTTGATATAGGTCAGTGACCAAGTTAGTCGCCTCTTTCAGGTTTTATTATTTATATCACAATTCTTAAAGATTTTACCTCCCATAAACTTAAAATGCATTTGTTCTACTTAATGGGTCACAGAGAATCCATCGATGCATTAACGGATAACTTTCAAAACTTTGTGCTTACATTTTTTAATTTTTAAAGTTTTTAGTTATTTAATATCTCTTAGAGGTATATACAGAATTAAGACCGTTTTTTATTTTTACAGATTGTGTCTTTCTTTTTTTCCCTTGTTAATCAGTCATGTTTTATTTTCTTATTAGTATCACGAAGCGAAAGATTTTGCAGATGATTTGACTGAGGGCAAATTTAGTTTTCCTATAGTGCACGCCATTAATGGATTTCCAAATGATCACCAAACAATGGCCATTTTACGTCAGCGCACAACAAATCGGGCAGTCAAAGACCATGCCATTCAACACCTTGATGAACTTGGATCTCTGGAGTACACTGCTTGTACCCTCATTCGGCTAGAAAAAGAGTAAATTTTTCCCCTTTCCCGCATTTTTAATACGTGTGAGTTTTTTTTTGTTGTTGAGGAAACAGGAGTTAAAATGCGAAATAAAATAGAATATAGAGGAAACGTTCCATATGAGACAGAGCCGTGTGTGACTATGAAGGGCTTTATGTTATGTCTCGGAGGTGGATTATTTAATAAAAAATGAGATTGTTCCAAACCTCACTGAAGCCCAACGACACTAACCCAAGAGCCTGACAATTAAAATATCATACATGCTAGTTCTCTATGGGGAACTTGAAATCACCACACCTTTAAACAATTCACGCCCCATTATGAGTTCGAGATAATAAGGTCTCAGAAATTAGTGTTGGTCCAGAGATCCATCTCTCAAATTTCATATTGTCGTTAATAGTTTATGGTAAAATCCCCAATTATTGTCATAAATCTATAATCTTAGTAATCTTTCCTTGTAGGGTTAAATTCAAAGTTGATGCAAAGTGTCATCTAATAAGCTATTTAAATTTAATTATCGACTTTATGAAGGTTAAAACTCTTTTCTCTCCTCTACTTTTTTACCTTGGTTAAAACAATTCTCAATATCTGATAGTCATTACAATTTGAATATATAAAAAATCTTACCTTTAAACTGTTCGCATAATGCCAGTACCCGGTAATCGGTACTCTTTTGTGGTGATTTTTGCGTTTGTCTAGTCTGTAACCAGTAGAGAAAATGTTCCGACTAAATCACAGTGAATGGGCAAACGCGATACATTCGATAACATTAAGAAGTCACTCAAGTTACCGTGACTCATATGGTGTCTGTCCTACCCCTAAATACCATCGATTCTCAAAATTAGAACTGCCTTATAAAATTTATTTCCTATCCATTTTTAGAATCCGTCAAATGGTGGCGGATTTCGGTGGAAATCCGTATATTCTACGTTTTCTTGATGACTACTGCATAATCTACAGAGATGCAGATCAGTGGGTTCCCCGGCCCTATAAAGTGCCCCCTTCATGTACTCTGGAGCCTTTGAACGGTTGTTCTAACTATGCAGGCTCCCACTCTTCTACTCTTTCTTCTTAATCATTTGAACATTCCTTTGTCTTGTGTTACTTCTATTGCTGTCTTTTCTACCGAACTATTCTTTCAACATCTCACTTGTAACCCACATTTGTGACTTGACTTCCTTGTTATCTACGTGGAATAAATATTCAAGATAATTTTTCTAACTGAATATTTGTGGGTCTGTAGTCCGGTTTCGTATTTCACCCTCCCTATAGCTGGTTTGCCTGTAGTTCTTAGCCGAATGTTATTCCGCCACAGAACTAATTTCAATCTTATTTTACACTCTGACTTTGTAGGCTTCTGATAAAGGCGACTCGAATAAGCCTGATCGACGACTTTTTAATATTCAAGATGTATCCCTTGTAAGTTATTTCACGCTGAAATTATCCAAATTTGATGAATTATTGTTCCGTTTTCTACTTATTTGCATTTAGAATGAGAGCTCATTTGAATCCAATGTCCCCACTGGACTTCAACTGTTTTCAGATTACCGAAAGGGTATTTTAAATCCTGATGTAGTTAGCACCCAAGGTGCTTCCACCTTGAAAGAATCAACACAGGAGACGACCGTCAAGAAAACTGAGCCTCGAATCCCTGTAACTTGGTTGAAACCTCGAAGTGCCTTGAGTCGTTTGGCTGCTGATCATGCTTTGCCAACCTCCTCAAGTAACACTTTCAAGTCCGATTCAACGCCTGTGATTCCTCAGAAAGTCCCCTATGATTCTCAAACAACCCCAACGAAATCTGGGTTAGATCTTGTCTTATCCACTGGTAGCTATTCTAATTAATGACATTGCTTCTAATAACTTGTCTAGACTCAATTATAAAGGAAATAGGAGATTTGGTGTTCATTGGTTGAGTCTAGGAGAAGAAATAAATAAATAAAGTCCGAAAGTAAGACTATTTTGCGAATTCTACAGAATTGACTGTAAAAATCCTTTTACAAATCTAGTAATCTTTTTGCATCCAGGCAATCTTTGCGTTTTGATCTCATTATTCGCCAATGAGTAATCATTTCCTGGGATTATGAGCACGGAATTGTGTTATCATTGACACAATTCGGAGGGAAGACGTCTTGTGAATGCTACAAGACCTTCACAAAGAACTAAGTGTCATAGGCAAGTTGGGAAG